CCTTCCCCTCTCATTCATAAATAATTGGGTTTAAGCAACATATTTGCCGGCTAAACAGAAGATGTTTCATCCTATTACTGGAATCTGGGCATCATTACATCAGTTCCCTGATAATTCTTCTTTTTAGCAGAGGCTCAAGCATCGATGGCATTTTAAACCAGTTTTCATGAGTTCATTAGCAGTAACTAGAGATAATTTTAATAATGACCTTTCATATTAAAATGGTCTGTATAGTAATGGCATTTTAAATTTGAATGCATATTTTTTATGTTAGATCATTGCACATTTACTTTCTATTCAGCTTGGTTGTGGGAGGTTGTACTTATAATGATTAATAGTATTGAGTTATATAATATGATTATACTGATTGTAATGATTACGGTATTAGATGATTAAGGTATTAGAGTTAGAAAAATTTGGTTTTAGTGAGAGATACTGAAAGAGTTATTTAGCTTCTCAAAACCTCAGATTCCTCACCCTTGATTAGGGTTGTCAAAAGGGAGGAGCATATGAATTATGTAGGGAGGATCCCTCGACTACTTTCTCCAGAGCATCCCTACCTCCCACCTTGCTACTCCCTATCCTATTATGTTGTCTTTTTCTTTATAGCCAATATGATTTTCTACGATTACTATTTTATGACATAAAGACAATGTAAGCTCCTTGAGGGCAGACATGTTTTCTGCTTGGTTTGTTGGTGACTCCCTATCTCTGACAACCATGTTGGTATATGGTAGATGCTCAATAACTATTTATTGAATGAGTGAATAACATATCCAAATACTTAGCATAGTATCCACTACATAGTAAAACTCAATAAATAATCATTATCAGTACTATAAGTGATGTGATGAGCTCCCAATGAGAATTTAAGAGTTTTAATATGTTATCTTGTTCCTTAAGGTTTGATTGGGTCTTATGGGTTTTTGCTCTCTGTCCTGCACAGTTTCACTATAAGATCTCTTCTGGTCTTTGAGTCAGCCATGCTAACAATTCCCAGATCTACATTTCTCCTCTGGAATCCCACTTATGGCATGTAGGTGCCTCATATACTCAATCTGTTTCCCAAACCTGCTTATCTTTCTGAGCTTCTTTTTCAATTAATGGCATCCTGTACTTACGCTGATGCTCAGATTAAAAACTTTGGATCAACCCTGATAATTCCCTGTATCTGATGTGTTCACAATTTCTCCCTCTGTTTTCCTCATTTGCCTAGCTTAGACTATCATTGTCTCTCATTTGAACTTTTACCGTAATGAATAAGATGGTTAAATTTTATTAAGCACAGTATCAGGACTTTATATGCATGTGAATATATAAAAGGTAGATGTTATTCATATTATTGCTATTATCATTTTATAGATGAAGAAAAAACAAAGTTCAGAGAGATTAAACAGTTCCTTAAATTCTCACAGCTGCTAAGTGTTAGAGCCAGGATTTGGACCTAAATTGGTCTGATTCTAGAGCCTCAAACTATCTTTTAAATCTTCTTGTTTGCCATGAGATTTCCCTTTTTCTACCCTTGTTCCAATCCACTCTGTTTTCCCCTTTCCTCTGAGTGATCTCTTAATTATTCTTCAAGAATCATCTTAAACCTCACCTCTTATTTTCTTTCTAAATTCTGCTGGGTAGAAGTAGATGCTTCTGCTGGGACTCCACAGCACTCTGCACATGTCAACCTTTGCTGTTATTATTTTGCATTATTATTTTGTATTTTAATTATCAGCTCACACATCCTTGAGAACAGAAGCCTCACCTAATTCATGTCTGCATGTACAATATCTGTACTCATTGGGAGCTATGTAAAGTTTTGTTCAAAAAATGCTTCTATAAATACTATTTGCTGAAGAATTTAATACTTGCTCTTTTATTTCTATAGGAATGCTACTAATTTTTTTTCCATAAAAATGTATAATTAGCACTTAGAATACCTGCTTTTTTAAATGAAGCACCCCTCTCCTTTGGTTTTCTATTAACAACATAGGAAAATTTTAATAAGAAATCCCTTTCCATCTGTGTCCCTAATTTCTATGTCTTGTTTGGTATCTGGTGACTTGTAGTTACCCAAATATCTTTGTTCTCTCAGCCTATTTTCCTAGGCCACCCTATAGGCCTACATTCTATTTTCCCAGTTTTACTTTCTGCTAGGCAACAGGTAATGTGTCAACACTAGTGTTTCATTCTTCACCTACAGCTTGAATTTCAATCCCATTTTTCATCTTCTATGACCAGTGATGGGAATTTCAGGTCCTAGATACGGGGAAGATGTTTTTGGGCAGTGGTATCTTAGGATTTTCTTCAAATCACACCCTATTATGTCTTTGGAGAAAGCTTTACATATCTCTTTTCTGTAATTGTTCTTTCAAAAATTGGTAAAAAGTCTTTTGCAGTTGATGAAACTGTGGTGTGACTGATGAATTATAAATAGGAAAGTGTTCATCTCTGCCAAGATATTTGAATCTGAAATGTACAAATCTCTGTCATTATCTTCTTTGGGGAAGATAAGATTTTATTTTTAGGCAGATACAATGAAGGCTTATCTCATATATCTCCAGAGTTTAAAAATGTATATCTAAAAAAAGAGAAAAAATCATAAATATATCCAGGTTCTGATATAGAAATCTAACAATATGTTTTTAACTTATTAATCTCAAAGCACTCATGAAAAAAACAAATACCATGTAAAAATGTGTTAATGTGGGCATACCCTCATAGCCATTTGATAAGTATCATCAATTTTTGAATTATTTTAATAGATATCCTAAGGAAAATGAACAAGATTTAGTATATTATTAGGTTAAAATGATCTGAAAGCTATCTTAACTGCTACTAACATAAAACACATACTCCCATGTAGAATTCTTGAAAAGATAGCAGTTTAAGTTCTCTGTTCCAAAGTAAAAAATTTCAGAAGTCCCTCAACTAACGTTAAATGCAAAATAGTTTGTTATCCACTTCCTAATGAAAACATTGATTTTGGAAGGAATTCCAAAATGGGTCCAGGCTTGTTACAGAGAAAAAGAATAATAAATACATTATTAATGGTATGTAATAAAACACACACTGTGTGTGGCTCAGTCAAATCAACTAGTCCCACCCCTTTATTTGATAGATGAGGAGAATAAGACCTACTGGTACTAAAGGTACAATGACATCAGGTGAGTGAACAGACACTAATCCGGTTGCTTTGTACCTCAGTCCAAAGTTTTTTGTTTCATGTTACCATGTGGGACCTTGTTTACCCAACATGAGGTGAAGGTGCTGGGATTGCTAAGCAGAGGGACTCTATTCAGGACGTAAAATCAGCATATAAGCAAAATTGAAAGTTCTAGACTTATCTTGTATTGGAACACAGATATTCACCCACTGAAGGGGAGAGATAAGTAGTAAAGAATGCTGATTATTCCAATTCCATTTATTAGTTATATCAGTGGCTGATTTAGTGCATTTTGAACGAAAAGGGCTCAAGGTCTTCTGAGACTGCTCAAACCATGTGTATTATTACCATGTATGTAAAACACTCCCTAATTATATGTCTATAAATATACTCATTCCCGGTCAGAGCGAGATGAAACTATTTGAAACATGTGGAAACTTTTTTTTTTTTTTTGGTTTATTATGGCTAGGGATAATCATCAACTTCAGATATCTAAGATGTCAATCTGTGTTCTTGAATTGGTATTTTTAAGAGAAAATAAAATTTAGTGAACTACATAAAATGGACCACTGTGGTAACACTTTCTACTTTAGCTAGAATCCACATTAATTAGTGATACACTTTTTCACAAAAATATCTCTTGAGTATTTTCTCAGAAATAAACCCTCAAATATTTATTCTGTGTTATAATAGCCCTTTGCTGATTGAGAAGAATTACAGTTGATATTCATTTTCATGTCATACAGCATAGGTTTATAGGCGTTTTAAAATAGTAATGCTAATCAGTCAAATCTGAGACCAGAGAAACACTTTTCATAGTAAAACTAAAAATCTTGAACAATATTTTCCTATAGTTAATTCTTTGGCAAAATGATATTAACATTTTTATGTATTTTATTCTTCATAAAGAATATAGAATATTTATCCATCTGTATGGAATGTTTATACTATGTGCTAAACAAAACAAGTGAAATAGGTATGAATTGCTTCTTCTGGAATCTAACAAACTCTAAGAAACTGTTATGACAGGACAGACAAAAAAAATCTATCTTTTGCTGGAAAAATAACTTCATTGTGTCTTTGAAAAAAAAGCATAGATTTATGAGATTTTAGTTTATATTTGGATTTATTGATTATCAGGACCATGATAAATTCACATTGTGAGGAAACAATACTTAAAATATAGGAACCAAATTTTCTAACCTCATGTCAATATAAGAATAAATGAAGAATTGTATACATTCTTAATAGCTTAGAATCATCAGAAATTTTCACATATAGAAGATATTTGTGCTATAGAAGTTTAATTATGAATATAATGGGAAAATTTTACAGATAAAACATCTCTCAAGAACATATCTTTTTATATTGCTCATTATATTGGACCATTGATTGTACTTCACATACTAAGTTTGTCTACTAATTGAAGTTATTATGAGCACTCCATCTATATAATACACTCATACTAGAGACAACTTATATAGCTACTATTTTTAAAGAACTGATCTGTGCATTATGACAGCAAAATTTCATTACTAAGAAAACATCCATTAGTTGACTACTGCAGTAAAAACTTTCTAATATTGGTGTCATGAAGACCTTCTTTTTTCTTATATGTTAACTGAGCTACATAGGCATGCCATAAATTGTGTTTTTCACGTTATAACTATTCTAGAGCCCATCCCTTTGGGGATCTGTTTCTCTTTGAGAACTAGAAGAAATTAATTTGTAGTTTGTTTTCTTCTATTTCATTCCTATTCTATTTCTGATTGTGTGTGTGTGTTAAAACAACAAAGCCAGCACTTTCAAAACACCATCTTCAATTTAAACTTTTGAGTGGTATTTAGGAATTGTTGGGCTGAATAGTCTTCAAAAGCTTCTGGTACATTTCTGACTTTACAAATCTGGGATAGGAATCCCTTTCCATGTGCACATACACTATCCTTTGAGCCTCTTCAAAACAAGTTTGAGTGGGTTCTTGAATATTCCTGGTGATATTTTCTCTTGTTGAACTGTCAATGTTAATCTGAAAAGTGAAATTACATGTAGAGCATAAGTAAGTATAATTGAAGATAGAAACCATAATGGAAAAGTTTAATTTTCCCCCTCTTCTTTTTTTTTTTAAACTGGAAAAGGGTAATTTTGCCTGAAATTTCATAGATATCTAAAAAGACTTTTAAGAGACAAACTTTGCTTCTTAATAACTAAACATCCACCTCCATATCCCAGATTAAAAAACAAAACAGAAAACACACAGCCCAAGACCAGGGAAATCTCAGAAACCATTGCTTACTTAGGCAGATGCAACTGGTTTGTTAGTGGAGTCTACAAACAAGGAAGTTTATGAGATGAAGGTCTCTTTTAAGGAAAAGGGAAGTTGGTGCTATTTTAAAGTTTATTTTTCTTAGTAGTCATGAATGTTGGTTTCACTGAATATGCCCTGAAATGGGAAGAGAGTGAAGAGAAGTGGAGAAATAAAGGAGAGAAGTGGTTATTTCAATAAGCCAAGTATTTTCCAGATAAGAGTTTTGAGGAACAAGTCAATAACATAGGACTGTCCTGCATGATAGGAATCTCATATGTCATGGTCTACCTTTATCCCCTTGAGAAGAATTTTCATTCCTTATTCTCTATCCACCAGGAGGGGTCCCAATGTGTCATGCACTCATGACTCTCTATTTTCTTTAGGCCACTGTAAATGATTGGCTGTAATATCAGTGTGAATGTTTGCTGGATTTGCTGTTTTGGAACTGAGGTGAGCAGTGAGTATGTTGCAAAGGCACAGACTTTCCCAAACCACTGGGGCTGTCAATATGCCAATGTATGGTATCTGTAGTTCCATTTAGCAAAGTCGATTCTTCCTTCTTACAAGGACTTCTTTTCCTTTTCCTTTTTTTTTTTTTTGTTTTAAGAAACTTTCCCAGGAATTAAGATAATTGAATGAGAAGAGGTTCTGGAGCCAGACAGGTGTAACTTTGAATCCTAACTCTCTCACTTATCTGCTATGTGACACTGAACAAGCTAATTAACTTCTCAGATCCTCAGGTTTCTTATCTGTAAAATAAGGTCAACAATACTGAATTTGTAGCATAGTGGGAGATACTGGATATGAAGTGCCTGGCACATGTATGTGCTTGAGAGATACTAGCACCCTCCCCGGGATGTACTGATTTCCATTAGCTGTCACTGTCACGTAGTTACCTCTCTAGGGGACTGTGGCTGGATGTAAATCTTATAAAGCTTTTTTGCCCTAGAAATTCTGCTCCGTCGTGAGGCAATTTTCTTATAGGTTTCACATGCCATCCAGAATTTAATATTCTCGTCACTGTGCTCCATCTTTAAGTACGCTGCGTAGACTACTGGACCATCTAAAAGTAATGGAGAAATCAGTTTATTTTCATGGGTCAAAATCATTAAAAAATCTGAACAATATTTAATGCAGGTTAAAACTAAAGTCTGAATCAAAGCTCCCAAATTATTCAACAAGTGAATATCATATAATGATACACACACACACACACACACACACACACACACACACACCCCACATCACTCTTAGATCTATACATCTGAAGCATGTTTTGACAATGCCAGTCAGTGGTGTGGTCATCCCTTTATTCCTTTCTTCTCAGTCACTCAAGGAGAATGGCCACTGATGTGGGTAGCTTTGAGGTAGGAGAAGTCACAGGGACTCAGAAACAGGACTTAAGTTAGATCAGTGGACAGAGCTTTGGTCATGAAACTGACATGAAAAATCTAAGCCCTCCAGCCAAACTGGAGAGTCAGAACCAGGTTTAGAATCTCAACAGGCAGGTCAAGGATGAAAGAAAAATATCCAAGTCAGGTAAAAGTAATAAATTGATCAGGTTGTACAGCCTGGGGTGTTTCTCAATATCCAATCAGAGCAGGAGAACATGGATGGAGGAAAAGTTCAACTTCATATTCATGCCTTATGGTTCAAACTAGAAATGAAGGACCAAGCAAAGAATGGAATTCAGATGGGGTGTTGGAAACTATCTCAAAATTGAGAACAGGACAGTGGGTATGTGCAGCACGACCATCAAATGACACTTGATGCCAGAGATGGTCATCCGTAGTTTTGGTCTTAAGCTGCATTTTTGGAGTGGGTAGATAAAGACATACATGTGAAAAGAGATTTTCTGATTGAAGCACTATTTTGTAGAAGAGGGTTAGGCAAGATCTCGCAAATCTAACACATTAACGTGAATCTTTGGGAGGACCAAATATTTTCAGTATTGAAGATGAACACTCTCAGAACTTCTTTTGGTGACTGGAAAGTTTCTTGGCATATTTGAGAAATTGAATTGCTAAATGATGAAACAATGTAACTTTTAATTGATAGTAATAGAAGTGTGTGTGTAGGCACAGTGAATATGTGACCAAGTATAAGATTTTGATTTACGATATTTTATTCAGTATTATTAACTGCCATAAGAAATAATGGTAATCAGATAGAATAGCAATATAAAATCAAATTTTCCTAGATCTTCACATCAGAGATTAGGCTGCATTTTCTAGCACTAGAAAGCTGTCACTCCTTGGCTTCTACTGGCTCTGTCAGCAGTGATAAAAAATAAAGACAGCAATTAAGATATTTTTATTCAAGAGAAAAACTCAAAAAGAGGCAGATCCCCTCTAAAAAGGATTAGGGCTGGGGAAAACTGGCAATTTGCAAGAAATGTGCCATCATGGGAATACACAAAATTAGAGCATGTCTCATTAATATCATGTAAATCTAGCCTTCATGACATTGGGTGGGAAATGGTTTGAAAGGAACATCACTTGAGTTGAGAGGACAAATGAAATGGGGATAGATCGTGTATAACAATGTAACATAGGAAATGATATGGATTAGATATTTCTGCCCAGTGGGGGAATATATTTATTTTAGATTTCAAACAAGAAGTTTATTTTCACACCTACATAACTTTAAGATGTGCCTTGCCTCATCACAGGCACAGAAAGCTGAGGCCAGAGACAATGCCTGTAGCAAGTGGAGCTCCTATTAGAGAAATAGCTGAATGGAAAGGCAAACCAGAAAAACAAAACAAATCAAAACAGAAAGCCATTTCTAGCTTAATAAGTAAAGCTGGAAGCCAATAATTTGCAGTGTGTGTTGAAAGAAATGGAGTTCTATTTAAGGAAATAAAAAGCAATTTGATATACTTTGTACTTAGTAGAATTTTGACAGTGCTTCATGAGGAACAGAAAATAAGAGTCCTAAAAGAAAGAAATGAGCTATGGAACAGGGAAAAATATGAGATACCAGATAAAATCTGTAGATCCTGGAATGAGAGTCAGCTACCAGGCTACTTGGATGGGTTGAGTAGATGGGTGGGTGGTGGAGAAGGAAATGACGTAGAAACCAATATTAGATTCTATGTTATAGTATTCTGAATTTATGTTTATATTTATGTTTATCTTGATTGTATAGTCAAATCTTTAGAGATTCTCATTTCAGAACCTGCCTGCATCTGTATCAGCCTTCTCTAACTTCTCTCCTGATTGAGTGAAGGAAGGATCTTATGGGGCTGGCCAAATGGTTCAACAATTCTCAATATACCCAAGTCCTTTGCTCATGAAGATCCATGCATTGCTGTTGATATTTTATAAGATACCTGATATGATAGATTGTAGTATTGATTTTCGTTACTTCCTGTCCTTCTTATAAGATTACACTTTCACGTCCCATTTATATCAGCCTTGTCCATTGGACTTGTTTTAGCCAATGAAATACATGCAAAGTACCATGTACGGTGCAAGCAGAAGATTTTAAGCAGAAGGTTTAAGCAGGTAGTCTGCCATTGCACTTCCAACTGGTCATGCAAAGGACACATTCTGGAAAAGAACTGCTCCTTTTGTCTGAAGGTCAGAATGAAGGTAGGAAATAGAGCTGGAGCTGAACCTAGTTATTGCGTGACATGAACAAGAAATGAACCTTTCTTGTAAATTAGTGGAATTTGAATGTGGTGTTTTATTGCATCATAACCTGACCTGGACCCGAAAGCCAACCTGGACCGTTTGAACCTCTTTGATATTTTAGGGAAGATTCTGGTGCCCAGAATCAGTAGACTCACATGGCTGGTATGTTTTACAGAATTTTTATGTTAGTCAAGTAAGCAGCTGAAGACGCATTTGTGTAAAAGTGTTCCAGGAATCTGGGTAATTATTAAAGTTGGAACTGAATTGCTCCATTGAGACTTTCTACTGACTCAGACAACAAGTGAATTTAAAGGTGGGAAAGCCTTTTCCAAATCAGACAGTGTGGCTCAGAGTAGCCCATTCTGAAGATGTAAATGACACTCCTTCCTGAGCATTATGCTCCAGACACTGTGATTCTGCTTGAGCAGAGTAAATAAGGAGAAACAACAGAATTGCTCATTAAATTGAGAAGATGGAAAAAATAGGTGCATGTTTTTTTCTTAAGAAGGAGAATGATGGTGAGAATTTTTGCATCATGTTAAGGATGGGATATTGGTCTGTAATTCTCCTTTTTGATGGGGTCTTTGTCTGATTTTGGGATCAAGGTAATGCTGGCCTCATAAAACTAGTTTGGAAGTTTTCCTTCCATTTCTATTTTTTGGAACAGTTTCAGAAAAATAGGTATTAATTCTTCTTTAAATGTTTGGTAGAATTCCCCTGGGAAGCCATCTGGCCCTGGGCTCTTGTTTGTTGGGAGATTTTTGATGACTGCTTCAATTTCCTTAGTGGTTATAGGTCTGTTCAGGTTTTCTATTTCTTCCTGGTTCAGTTTTGGTAGTTTATACATCTCTAGGAATGCATCCATTTCTTCCAGATTATCTAATTTGCTGGCATATAGTTGCTCGTAATATGTTCTTATAATTGTTTGTATTTCTTTGGTGTTGGTTGTGATCTCTCCTCTTTCAGTCATGATTTTATTTATTTGGGTCATTTCTCTTTTCTTTTTGATAAGTCTGGCCAGACAGCATGTATTGAATGGAGCACTGGGTGTTATACGCAAACAATGAATCCTGGAACACTACATCAAAAACTAATGATGTAATGTATGGCGATTAACATAACATAATAAAATAAAATTAAAAAAAAGGAGAGTGGTGCTTTTGGGACTCTCTAGGATGTTCTTTTTAAGCTAGTCACTGAAATTAGTATTTCTATGACACACAAGGTGACACATGTCAGTATCTTGATGCAGAAGGGAAACGTGACATTCCTCTTGGCTGAGTCAGAACAGTGGCCCATCTGTTCCAGGATTTTTTTCTGCAAGGGGAAAAAGCTTACACCATAAATTTAAATCCTAACGTTTTGCTATGTTGCAGTCTTTCATCAGAAATGTGCCTAAAACAATTTTAAATTTATTTTATTTTCAATCTGTACCACTTAGGATAATAAATTCCATAATTGTACTAGCCTTTACGTGAAGTTTTAAAGTAAATCTGCTTTATTGAGATTCTCTAGTTTGGCTCCTATGATATTAAACATTTATGACTTTTCTCTTAACTTCTTTTTGCTGTGTTATTATAAAAGTAACTTAAAGTACTATGAGTTGTTTTTAAATACAGAAAACTTCTAATAAAGATAATAATGATTGTTGACAATTTGATATAGTCCCTTTATTCTTTCAGTCCTTTGTTAATGTTTAACCTTCTATCTAACTAGTATTCATTCATCTACACAAACACAGATACACATATACTTATATGTGGCATTATACTGTGAAAGCAATTTTGTGTCACTCTTTCATACTTAATATGTAGAAACACTTTCTCCTTTTTATTTTTAAGGGTTACATAGTAGTCCATTCAAGGCTACCCTATATTATATTTAGCTACCTTGCTATCATTGAATATTTATATTGTTTCCCATTTTTATGTTGTAAATTATCCTACACTGAATATTTGGTGTATAAATCTTTGCATCTGTAATTATTTTCTTAGAATTAATTTAAAAGAGTGGAATTCCTAAGTTGACAGATGCAGTGTTTTGGGGGACTCTTGATACTTGTAAAATTGCTTTCAGAAAGATCTCATTACTTTTCATTACTAACAGCTGTGTCAATGTGTCTGCTCCCTCCATCCTTTCAATCCGACGGGGGTAAAACCAGTGACTTGTAATTGTTTAATATTGGATTTTTAAAACATTAATGCCCAAACATTTTTTCTTTCTTACTGACCATATCTTTTCTTTCTGTGAATTTCAAATTATTTGACAATTTTTTTGCATTGTTAGTGTTTTCTGGATTTTTCAGATCTCTTTATATATTAAAGACACAATCGGTTATATTTATTGCATTATCTTCTGTTCTCTTTTTACATATTATCTTTGTTTATGATTTTTGAGAAATATATGTAAACCATCTAATCTGAAA